TGTTAGGGAAGTCCTAAATTCATTCCTCAGGAAGTTGGAACATCTGTTCATAATGTGAAGACAGCAATATAGTAAATTTTTTTTTTTTTTTTTTTTTGGAGACTAAGCTTACTTAAATACTCTTTGGCAGATTATGCATACAAAGTAAAAAATTATTGTATTTTTAATAGCAAATGAAAGTTTTGTTGTATTTTACTGGCCTTTTAATTAATAGATTCATTAGCAAATTACATGCATAGGTGCATGCATAGAATAGCCTTGGGATGTACCAGGGGCATTTTTTTGATAGGTCATAAAATCAGAAAGATTTGGCCTGCAATAAGAATAACCTAATATGAAATTGAAATATCTGTCTGTGTTACCTGATAAATACCAGAGTCCTGGCACATGCCAGGGGTGATTGCACCAGAAGCCATTTTACCAGTGACCAGAACACTTGTGGTCATGGTTCATTGAACAGTAATTTGACAGAGAAAATAAGGTTATAGTCCTTTCAAAAATGAGCTATCGAGCTTCCCCAAATTAAGAACTCGCTCTCTGGCCGATCTGGCTTTGGCAAAGCTTTTACTGAGTTATGTAAAGACTGGGTTTTACATAAATTGGAGAACATGCACTCTAAAATATCTGTAGCTGTAGGCTGATCTCCTTACTTTGTTTTCAAAGAGTTCCTACAATGGTTTGAGAAATAGATGAATGGATTACTGATGGAAATGAGCAAATCCTTAATAATATTCTTAGCTGCCTTGTTTCTGTTGCATCAGAATAAACTCCACTACTTCTGAAGAAAACATCATAACAGAATATTTTATTTAATTTGTGCCACTAAGTTCTACAAAATGGCAACTGCATGATTTGAATATTCTAGTTGAAAATAAAATCTGTCACAATTTTCAAGGATCTTTGCTGATCATCATCACCTGGATGCCTCTGAACTGTTTTAACAGGTTAATACTTGCTAAGTGGTTTAGAAAGCAATTTGCTGCTGTGAATCGTGCTGTAACTCCAGCCAGTGAAATCTGTCAGTATTTGCTGGATAGTTAAAGCATGTTAATATCCATATAATGAATACTCTCTATTTCATCACTATAAAAATATCAGTTGGAAGTACTTGGAGGATTAACTTGGAGTCATGAGAAAAGCACATTTGGTTGTAGCCTCTAGGAAAAAACTGTGCTGTACTTGAAAGAATCAACATGTGGTTAGAAAGAAAATTCTGATTCAACCTACTCTGTGATAGCAACTAATTAACCTTGGCACCTTTCTCTGAGCTGCAAGCCACTGCTTCCCAGAGGTTGCAGGAAGTCAGGCAGCTCCTCTGCCTTCCTCTTGCAGTGTTAATATTCATTTCACATTCAACTCCAACATTCCCTTGGCTAACTACTATGATGTTCAATTCTCTCCAGAGCAACTGTGTGTGTTGAAGGTGATTTTAACATCCACATTTAGAGCAGCTTGTTGTGAATTCTCACTACATGCTACTGTAGCTTTAACTTCTTTTAACTTTTGTTTCCTAACTTTTTTAAATTCTGGTTAAAAATGGTACTGCTGCACTTCTTGTTTAATGATTTCTATTGATCAGAACAATAGAATTAATTAGAAAGTGAATTAACTTTCTCCTTTGGTAGTATGCTTAATTGTGATATACTGTACTTAAAGTAAAAAAAAAAAAAAATCAATATATTTACCTTCATTACTATTGAGTTAATGATAGTGCTTATTAGACCTGTGTTAATAAATGTAAATAATGCCTTTGGTAAGTGTCCAAACAAGACACATGTGCTTACTGTGGTTTTGTTGGGAAGTCAGTTGGACATTGAGGGATTTCCCATCTGTTCTGGGTGTAAATGGCAGAGTTATTTCTGAATCTTAATGTTACATCCCCTGCAGCAGAAGCTACGTCCTGAATACTTTAAGATTTTGTTGCAGGGTTTTGCTCTTTGTGTATTGCAGTTAACACAGAGCTTAAGCGCCGTTGCAGTTTCACTTTGTCTTACAAACACAGGTTCTTGGTGGTGTGTGGAGATAAATGCTGAGCTGCTACCAAGCCAGTGACAAAGGCAGAATTTGTGGTTGCCCTGGGAATGCTCTTTCCCTCTTGGTGAATGTCACAGGTCTAGAATTCAGGGGATCAGTGCCTTATTGCCAGGTGTTATTGCTGACTTGCTTTGGAACTTCTGCCAAACCCAGCTCCTGAATGTCACTTTCTGCAGGAGGGAGAGGGTGCTCAGCCCTCCAGAACTGTCAAGCTGTAGGTTAGATAGGTGGTGTATTTCACAACAACAAATCAAACAAAAATCCCCAGGTCCCCACAAACAAACAAAAAACCCACATCACAATTTTTTTTTTGGTCATAGTTGTATAGATATGAGCCAAAACCCATATAGGATTAATATGATCTGCTTGTCTTTATTCACATGGAATCAGCCAAGTTAATGTTTAGGACTAGAATTGTAATGGTCATACTCTGGTAAATTTTTATGGTGTGGAATTTTGAGTTTTTAATGCCTCATTTGCATGTGGAAATGTCTGTCCATACATAACAGCAAATGTGGAAGAGAAATAGTGAAAAATCTTTTCTGCAGAAGAGCTTCAGGTGGTGAGCTGCTGAGCTTGTGTGTGAAGAGAACTGCTCATTATATATTGAAAATCAGATAGAGAACTGCTTATGGCCACACCAGGCATGTCAAATGTCTACTTCTAGGTATTACAAGTATTTTAATATTTATTATATCCTCTCTGTTGACTGTGCAGTTTTAACAAGGCATTGTGTTCTATAGAGGATGACCTGTAGAGAACAGAGCTATGGGAAGTTGTGTGTCACGTTCAGAAAAATGCTTCCATTATCCCAGCCGTTCTTGGAATAAATGAATCATGCTCAAGGTCTTTGCCTTCATTTGTAAAACTTATGAGTTATACTGTCTGTCAGAAAGTCAAATAGTGATGTGGCAAACATGGTAAAATGCCCACTCCAAACAGCCAAGGAGGTTGGTTTACTTGTCTGTTTCTTTTCATAATGATTTTAAATTATGTGTTCGCTTTCTATTTTCTTCTGAGTTCAGAGAAAGTATTATAAATGCTCCTTCATGTAACATCTATCTGATCTGACATTTTGGGAAGATGCTTCAAGAGCAAAGAGTTAGATTCATGCTTGTTGAATCTGTTGTTCTTCACGCCCACGCTTGCAAGTCTCCCCACATTATTTTGTATTTCTTCTCAGGAAGACACGTACAAATTTAGAGACTGGATGTCCTTTGAAATTATGTAAGACTCTTGCCTCCATGCAATTGTATGAAAACTGAAATAAACAGAACTCACCAAACCCAAAACACCCTAGAACAGAGTGAACAAAAATATTTTGGGTCATGAGCCAGCAACTGCTTGCTGCTCTGTTGCTTAGTTATATTTGTTGGATGCAGAGATAGTCTGGAGAGCCCTTTTCTAAGGTATACCATGTAAACTTTGTTTAAATGATTCTGGATTTGTTTTATAAAATAGAGGTAATTGTGTTTCAAAAATAGCACAAATCTTGCATGCTGCAGTTCATCCACATTAGTTTATTCAGCTGAGTACATTAGAAGTCACAGCTGTTCAGATGTACCCTTGTTCCTACAATGTTATGTCTGTGTGCATAAAATCTCACTGTTTCAAACCCATGTGCACTGTTGAATGGTGAATTTGTTTTGAATATGTTTTTGTAGCTGACCTTTTGTACTCATGGCTTTGAACAAGTCACGTCAATGCCATGAGGGTAATATGTGAGTTTCAGAAAGTGCTCTGCATGGTCTTTGTACCTGAAGAAGGTGGAGGTAAATGTTTTTTTAAAAAAGGAAATTATGAAAATTATTTTTCTTCCACAAATTCCAAATTTGTCCTTAGATAGTGATCATAATGAAAACTGGCAAAAAGGAAGGGATTTAAGCACATTCTTGTTGCTTCAAGTAATTTCTGAAACTAGTTTGAAGGCCAGTCTTTTAACCTGCACATTTAAAATCTGGAAAACTTTCTGCATCTGAAATTTGCAGCAGTTATGTCAAACAGCTATAAATCTTTGAGATATGGAAATTCTTGATTAAAAATGGAGATGCTCTCTTCTGTGGATTAATAGCTTATGTTTGCTAGTTAAAATTGTGTACATATTCATTAGACCTCTATACAGGCTCATAGGTAGAACATTAGATCACAGAAATTACAGAAACTAGTTGTTAATATTTCTGTAGAAGAATTTTTTTAACATTGTATAATAATTACAGGTTAGCATAGTTAGGCTCTCAGATGTGACCTAATTTATGTCTGAAGATTAAAATAGCAGGCTAATAATACTGCAGTAATTCTTTAACAATTCTACCTAAAATTAGCTCGTCCTGTCTAGATTTGGACAGTAATTGCTTGGGATAAAATCTTAAAATAAAATTATGAAGTGTTTGCCTGGATGGTAGCAGAATACAGAATACTGAATATCATATCCTAAAGGAGTTCTGATTGTGTTTCTAAAAGCAGGTTAAAAACTCCAACTGCAGCTTGAAACTCCATGATGTATATTTTCTATGATGAATAGTCATGCATGGATGATGTAATGCAAGCTGTAAGAATGAAAATACTTTTTTTTAATATTACCCTTAGAGTTTCAATGTTTCACCAGTTTGGCAAGGAAAACTAAGATGCTTAATTTTGGAAACCAGACGAAACCTCTCTAAACATCCTACAGTACTGGATTGTAGAAATAACAGTGTGCAAGTGTCTAAATCAGGGCACTGGGTATGGAAGGAAAAGGAAAAACTTACAATCAAAAAAGCAGTTATGCCTTTTTGGAGACTGTTAATACTTCACTTTCCTGAATTAGCTGAAGGGAACCACTGATTCTGTTGCCTGCTGATTTTTTTTTTTTCCTCTGTAGCCTCTGTGCTGTTACATTTCATCCCAGAAGACTGTGGGTTTAAAACAAAAGATCAGTGAATGAAAATTACTTTGGTCTTAATGTTTCTCTGTCCCAATTTCCTTAGATCCCTGGTGGAAGAGGAGGATCCTCATATGAAAGTGTCTCTTGGGAGCAGCGATATGGGCGTCTCTGCCCATCTGCAGTCTTCGAAGACAGGAACCACCAGATTTTTCACCAGCAATACTCACAGTTCTGTGGTATTACAGGTAATTAAATATTTTCATGCCTGTATTGAGCTGTGCTAAGAATTTTGGCTGCTCTGCGCAATGTGTCCACTAAATAGATTGTATTAGTCCAATTATTCCTATAAAGCCTCAAAAGCTCTCATGTTCTTGTGCTGTCAATGCCCACAAGCAAGCATTGCTTGGGACTTGCTTTCCTGTGAGAGAGGTTCAGCTTTTAGCAGCAGCTTGGAAAACAAACCTGGCCATTTCTTGGGGTCATATCCCAGTCCACTCTCAAGTTCTTAGAGGTAACAATGTTTAAACTCTGACATGGCAGCTGTATCAAAGAAGCTCACTTAAATATCAGTATTTAATTACATTAGGCATGTGCCTAAGATGACAGAGCCCTGCCAGGTTTGGTGTAATGCCCTGTGCTGGGTCTGACTATGGCACTGCTGTGTGGTGGAACATCTATAGAGACAATATTTACATTCTTGCTAGTATTAGAAAAATACCAGTTCAAAGGAAAATGTTTTATGTTTGAGTTTCTGTTCCACAGAATGAAGGAGAGTATTTCACCCATCCTCCAGTATACACAACCAGGCACATCTTTGGAAGAAATCTTGCTTGCTCTAGGATGCCGCTGTAGATGCTTTTATTTTTTATTGCAGTTAGATGTTATAAGTAATTCAAAGCTCAGATGTATAATGGGAGCCTATTTTGGGGTTTTTAGCATGTTGCTGTGGTAACAAATTTGATAATCATAGGACCAGGTAACAGTTTTCCTTTCAGGTCACAGACTTTTGCAGCCTGTTAGGTTGCAAACCCCTTAAATTGCTGTGGAACAGAATTATATCTAGAATGCATATGTGACCAGAAGGGGTAGGTCCAAAAAAAATAGCAGTCCCTACCTGAAACAACTGCTGTTGTGAAGGCTTACAAAACAAACTCCTTCCTGAAAATAACTTAATTATTTGAATAAAACTACTTTCTAAGGCCTAGTGTATTTGGCATTCATCAGCTATATCTAGAAAGTAATGATTATTCTGCTTGTTTTCAATGAGTACTAATCATTGAATATATTACAGATAATGGTTTTAAGATGACAAATTATTTCTTTGTCACTTTTTTGGACCTACACTACACATGTACATAAAAGTAAATAAATATTAGCATAAGGGAAATAAGAGATTTCTACTCTCCTCCCAAATCCAAGGATGCTTTGCATTGTGCTTTTCCTGCAGGGCTTTGACCAGCTGCGAGTGGAAGGTTTGCTCTGTGATGTGACGCTCGTTCCTGGAGATGGTGATGAGGTGTTCCCTGTCCACAGAGCAATGATGGCTTCTGCAAGTGATTACTTCAAGGCCATGTTCACAGGTGGTGTTTTCATTAAAGCCATGTCTGTCTCCAAATTGCTGCTCCAAATTGCTCGCATTCAGACACTCGGACACAAGTTCAGTGCTGTGTGTGAATCAGTCCAGGACTGCAAACAACGCTGTGGACTAAACATCTCTCTCTGCTGTTGCATATGGGGTTTTAAAATTAAATTTTAAAATCATATTTTAATTATCTCTAAATTTATGAAATAATTTCAACCCCACCAAAATGATCATTTACATTTGCCTGCATGTCTGTTTCAGGAGGAATGAAGGAACAAGATTTAATGTGCATTAAGCTTCATGGTGTGAACAAAATAGGCCTAAAGAAGATCATTGATTTCATCTATACTGCAAAACTTTCCCTTAACATGGACAACCTTCAGGACACTCTGGAAGCTGCCAGTTTTTTGCAGATTTTACCTGTTTTGGACTTCTGTAAAGTATTTCTTATCTCTGGGGTAAGACTATTTGTTTCCCATTTACAATGTCTAAAGCCTTCGTATGTAGTTTTGTTTTTTTTCTTAATGACACTGACTTATGTAATAATCAAAGTTATGTCTAAAACCTGCCATTATTCACAGCTTAGATTCACAGAGAACAAATTTGCTTTATAGTTTTCTTGAAAAACTTGGTTTTCTTCGGAGTATTATGTACAGCATGAGTTTGATACAAATGTTTTACCACATTGAAATTCTTCCCTTACATGGCTGATTTGAGATGTTTCAGGGTCTACCTGCATGACTGCACTCTAGCATTTGTCTGCTTGCTGCATTCATTAGGTGTGCTTCAGTTTCAGTCACTTTATTCCTGTATTTACAGCCCTTCCATCTCACTGGGGTGCAGTTACCTGTTTTCTGACCCTAACACAGGATAAAAGCAATACCCAGACAGGATCCCTCAGTACCTTTCCTGTCCTGCTCTGTGGGGCTGTAGAACAGCAGTGGTGCAAGAGCAGTTCTGCCTGGAGAGACACTCTGCAGTTCCTTTTAATGTGCACTGGAGGTTTTCTAGTGTTGATGTTAAATGCTTCCATATCTCACTAGAACTCCGACTTTAACAGGTGTGTTCCACGCAAATTACAGAATTATTTGGAAATCAGCTTTTCAGCTCTGTAATGAGAAATAAAGAAGCAGGTATTCCTGTTGCTCTGCAGAGTACAGGCTTAGAAATGTGACCTCCCTAACTGAAAATATGTACCAGGATTTATGCAAACCAGAGGACTCTAAGCTGATAATAACAGCAATTTGTTTCCTATGATGTGTTAGAGATATTATGTTAGGCTTGATAATGCCATATTGCTTTTAATTTAGAGATGTTTTTTAAATGACCTATCTGATAATGTTGTGATAATGTTTCATTAAGCTTAATACTCTTCAATCCCATCCCACCTATTTCAGGCTTGATAATGCCATTTTGCTTTTAATTTAGAGATGTTTTTTAAATGACCTATCTGATAATGTTGTGATAATGTTTCATTAAGCTTAATACTCTTCAATCCCATCCCACCTATTTTATCTTGCTCAGTGGGGTTTTTTTACCTCTAAAATGATGCCTCTCCAGGTTTGACATACTATAAATACCAGCTTGGAAAAAGGTCTTGGTGGTGTTTTGAATGAGGTATTTGAAAAGGGCTCCTTCTGATGGGAGCTGAGCCCTGGGGATGCTGTGGTGGCCTTTCCCCTTTCTGGGTAGGGCAGCTCCTTGTTTATTTTGCTTTGTTAAGGAAAGAACTTTTTTCATATTAAATCATGTTATTGTTTTAAATGCTCATTCTCTGAAAGTATGTTCACTTGTGGTGTTGATTCAGTCACTGTTTTCATTCAAATTAGAATGATCTTGTTTGATACTCCATTTTCAAAGAATGGGGAAGACTTTCTTAATTCTCTTAATTTTATTGGGTTTTTTTGGGGGGGAATACTTTAATTTAGACTGATATCTAAGGGGACATCATTTCATTCATGGCATAGCTGTAGAGGAAGTACAAAACTGAGGTTGTTCTGTTAGCCTAGTTATGTTCTTAGCATCCTTATATAAAGAATTTTTGGATGACCTTACTTCTAAATTTTTTGAAACAAGAGTTGGTGAGCAAAAGAGTTTCTTTTTGAAGGATCATTTCTGTAATTTAAATATTCTGAGCAAGTGTTGAGCTTATTTCTACTGAAGTTAGCTGGCTTGAGAGCTGAGGTAACCATTCCCAGACAAATGCTTAATTGTCTTTGAATTGTCTGGGGAGTCCATTATTAAAGAGATTATAGAAGTCAGTTTATGTAAGGCATAATGTAATTGTGTACTTCATAAGAGGGTATTGGAAATATTTACAAAGAAAAACCAAAGCTTAAGGTAACAGCTTAATTTGTGTAGCAAAACTAATGAGACCTTCAAAGAACAGTATCTGTTGTAGCTGACTTGAAAGTGGTTTTTTTATTTGCTCTGCATTTACACCCCTCCTGTCAAGTACCCCATTGCTCTGATTATCTTTGCTCAGCAGCAAAACAGACTCTCAGAGAAACAGTGGAGTACTTCCTAAGATGTTTTCAGTCTTACTGTTTCTATTGGTTTTCAATAATTATACCTGTACAATAGACTAGGATTACTCTCATACTCACATCTAGCTGAGCTGTAATGTAAATAAAATTCATAAAAATGCCATGGAAATGTTTTCAGAGTAGTGAGCTCTAGACACAACACTGATTTTGCAAAACTAGCAGCAATGTATAAAATGGACAAAGATGAGAAACTTACCCAAGTGAATTACAGCACTCAGGAAAATTACAGGGTAATGGGGAAAGGGTTGTTACACTGTAATTAAAGAAAATAATCCCAAACATTGAAAATTAATATCTTGGATGTACCTGCAAAAGAATTTTGTTCCTTTTATAATTTGGTGCTTTACACTTTCGTAACTACTAGGATATAGTCAAATATTGAGGGCTTAATACTTGGAAGTCGTGCCTTGTCAAAAAAACTTGGTTATCTGAGGATGGAGCAAAGTTAATCTGTTTTGTGGGAGTGTGGGATTTAACCCTGGGACCAGCTCTGACAGCCACCAGAAATTTGACTTTGTACTGTAGGGGTACAGTGGATTCTGTTTTCTGAGCTGGTCAAATTTCTGTGCAGTTTTTTCTGGGCTTCTGTCAATGGGAGCCCATAAGAAAATTGAAGGTTTCAGGGATGTGTTTGGTCTTTTAAACTTGGGCCCTTTGAAGCACTGCATTAAGTGCTTCAGTGTCTGACAGCCATTGACACAAAACAAAGTTAGATACCTGATTGTTTTGTGCTGCTGGGTTTGAGGGCTGGATTTTTTTGTGTGTGATGCTTTTCGTGAGCTGTTCTCCAAGGCTCTCATACTTGCAATCATTTTGCTGTGTCCAGTTTTGTAGTATTTTATAGTCAGTTAAATTTTTATGAGAGCTTGGGAAGTGGTTGCTACAAAATTTCAAAAAATTAAGTGAACTGCTTTCTCAAAGAAGTACTTTGGCTTTTGCTCTGGGTTTTTCAGGCTGTTGTAACATGGTGCTGTGCTTGACCTTTCTTTTTTGAAAAGCTTTTTAGTATTTTCTGCAACTTCTGTTTTGTAATGAGCTATTACAATGAGTAATGTGAGTGAGCAGCTCTGCTCAGTAGTCAAGTCCATGTAAAATGGGATTTATTTAAGTGAAATTCTCAACTCCTTGTGGAGCTGCTTAGCTGCTTGAATGTTTGTCTTTTAGCTCTTTCCTTGTGAGCAGTTTTACTTGTTATTGGATACACTGTACAGTGTATGTATTTTCACCTGATATTTCCATTTCTCCTGTTCACTTCAGTGGCATTTCCAGAGTAGCAGTTCCTTCTCTTTCTTGAAAAGCTCCTGATTGACTGACTTCCACACAGATCCATAGCATAAGTCAAACTTCTAAAAAAACCAAAAAACCCCAGTGTTTGAGTAACTGAAGTATTTATTTAAATAACATTGTGCTGAACTCTGTCCAGTTTTGAATATTCAAGTAGAAGTAGCTATAGCCTTTCTTTCTGTTGAAGGATTATTTTTTGGCTCAGGATTTAAGAATCTCTAGAATATATATTTTTATGACTTTTAAGTCTTTGCAATATAATTTAGCCTGGTACATTGGTTATTATCTTAGAGCAGAGTAAATAGGGTAACAGTAATTTTGTGAGAAAAGTAAGCTTTAAGACAATATTTAATATGGCACTCTGGTTTGAGGTGAGTGGAGGAATTTTTTGGTGAGTCAAACATAATGCACAATTTCATAAGCCTAATGGGAAGTACTTGCAATCATATATTAAAAAAAACCAACCAACCCTGAGTGCAGTACAGTCCCAGTGGATTACTAAAGGCAGTATAAAGTGAATTTTCCCAGAATCAGGGGTTGACTGGAAGCTGCTGATATCATGTTCATCAGTCATTAACAGTGTGTAATGTGTCAATAAATTTCTCAAATGTAAGAAGTCCAGGAATATGCTCAGCTTCATGGATTTACAGTGTTACATAATTATGGCAATACAGAACCCAGTGCACTCCGGGCACTTGATAAGTGGCAGCCAGTCAGCAATAGCTCCAAATACTTCACTGCATTCTGCATGTGCCAGTGGTACAGAACCTGTACAGGTTTTGCTTTGATCTTTTAAGTTCAAGCATGCCTTTCCTGTATGCAATAATTTCTGCCTGCTTACTTTGATGTGGTGGAAGTGCTGCATATCTCTAGTTTGGTGCCAGACAATGTATTCCAAAGTGATTTTTAAATACAGTAACTATATAGCAAGAGTTAAGATTTATGGTATACTGCAAGTCAGCTGTTTGTTAAGGGATGATTTTTCCATTGCTTTATTTTGTAATACAACTTGGAAGAAATTTTGGAAGAAATTCCACTCGACCAGGTTGCTCAGAACCCCATCCAGCCTGGCCTTGGACACTTCAGCAATGGAGCAGCCACAGCTTCTCTGGGCAATCTGTTTGTTGTTGATCCTCAAAGCCAGTCGGAGAATATTTTATAGGCTGTTGCTAGTTGGTGTATTATATTTTGATATAAACAATGTGGTCTGTCTTGTAATACAAAAATTATTTCCATGTATATAAAGCACAAATATTTTCATACTAGAACTCCTGACAGTCTGCTGCACATTCATTTTATAGATGGGACCTGATTACAGGATTAGTAGGCATTTCAAGATGCATGAATGAAGACTTTGGATGACAGTAGATCTTAACTCTAGGGCAAGTTGGATCAGTTTCTAGTGAATTTAAAAAATCTCCTATTCCTGTACTCATTAGACATTGGAATTGTCTGGTATTGAAGGACAATGATCAGATTAAGTTATACAGTATTAAAATCTTCTAATCGCTGTCATGACCAGAAGTCATTTGAAGGTTTTTGAATTCTTAGGCTCCAGTTGGGCCATAGTCCTCAATCTTTATAATCTTTTTCAAAATAACTGTGAGATTTGTAAGCTTAAGTTCTTCTGGCATTAGGAATGTAATGAGAATCACAAAGTTGTGGAAATGGTTGACACTGAGTAGGACTGACATACACAGAGACTAGAACATGTGTAAATGAAGCTTGGTCTGGAATAAGGTTTGAATGCAAAAAAGCTGCAATTCTGAGCGAGAAGCATTTGATTGACTTGCTGAGCACATGTACCAGAGAGCTTCCTGAAAGGAACTGGCTGGGTTCACTGAAAACCCACTAGAAGTTTGCCCCATTCCTGGCATGTTTCTTCCTTCCTGTGCCTTGGATCCCAAGTGACCTTAGAAATTCAGGAGCCAAAGATATAAAAAGATAGATGCAGCTACAGTGTAAAACATATGATTACCAAGTCACTCGAGTACTGAGTTAAATTTGGGTGTGTGATCCATACTTTAATGAGCTGGGTATTTTTAGGGGAAATCCTCCTAGGTTCATTCTTTTTAAAAAATTATGTATAAACTAAAATCACTACCTTTGTCTTATTTTTGACATGTATTTAGTTTTGAACAGAGACGGTGAGAACACTGCCTTGATTTATTAAAGATCCATTTTTGTTTGTTTTGAAGGAATGTATTCATGAGATTGAACACTGTAAATATTAGTTGTCCAAAATATGTGGCATTCAGGGGTTAGCTGTGCCATTCTCTTTGGTTGTATTCTGCCAACACAATTTCCATAGTGTCAAAAAATATCTAATGGTGACACTTTTGTTTTGCTCTCTGTAACCTTGGGCTGATCACCTGTCCCTTAATTTTATTTTCCACATGTCTGTCTTAGATGTTTTCAGAGCTTTTCAAAGATGAGGCGCTATCTAACTGTTATACCTCATCATTGTGTAAGGTATTTGACATAATATATGCCATCTGCTTGCTACTTGTCTCAGTTCTTTCTTCAAAATAAGGAAAAAATTTGGTCTCCCTTTGCAGTCATGAATATATACACTGCACTGAATATTTGCTCATGTGTAAATCACCTTGAGCACTGCAAAATGCTGAAATATTGCTGATTCTACAGTATTCATTAAATTTTACAGTATCATTTAGACACCAAATTAAGAAAGTGTTTTGATTCCTTTTTCTGTTTACTTAATAGGTTTCGTTGGAAAACTGCGTTGAGGTTGGGCGAATTGCCAACACATACAATCTCACAGAAGTGGATAAATATGTTAATAATTTCATCCTGAAGAACTTCCCTGCATTATTAAGTACTGGTGAATTTGTGAAACTCCCCTTTGAACGTCTTGCCTTTGTGCTTTCAAGTAATAGCCTTAAGCACTGCACTGAACTGGAGCTCTTCAAGGCGGCCTGTCGCTGGCTGCGCTACGAGGAGCCTCGCATGGAGTACGCTGCAAAGCTCATGAAGAACATCAGGTTTCCCCTGATGACCCCCCAGGATCTTATCAACTACGTCCAGACAGTGGACTTCATGAGAACTGACAACACCTGTGTCAACTTGCTTCTGGAGGCCAGCAATTACCAGATGATGCCGTACATGCAGCCCGTGATGCAGTCGGAGCGGACGGCGATCCGCTCGGACAGCACGCACCTGGTGACGCTGGGAGGGGTGCTCAGGCAGCAGCTGGTGGTCAGCAAGGAGCTGCGGATGTACGACGAGAAGGCCCACGAGTGGAAATCCCTGGCGCCCATGGACGCGCCGCGGTACCAGCACGGCATCGCCGTCATCGGCAACTTCCTCTACGTGGTGGGAGGCCAGAGCAATTACGACACCAAGGGAAAGACGGCGGTCGACACGGTCTTCAGGTTCGATCCTCGCTACAACAAGTGGATGCAAGTGGCATCTTTAAACGAGAAACGGACCTTCTTCCACCTAAGTGCCCTCAAAGGACATTTGTATGCAGTCGGAGGTCGGAATGCAGCGGGTGAGCTAGGTGAGTCCTCCTGCAGCCAGCCCCTTGCCTTTTGCTGGGCCTGGAAGTGCCCTCTGCCCAGGGAGTGGGTGGAGAGAAACAAGTTGAAGTCACTGGAGTGCTGCTGCTTTCTGGAAATACTGCAAATGCAGATTTTTTTTCTGGACACTCTTAGAAGTTAATTTTAGAAGGAATACCACAAAAAAATTCCAAATACGTATGTCTTGTGTATTGATGCATGTTATCCAGTGTCTTGATCTTTACCAGGAAACATGAAGTAAGCATCTGTGTCTGCCTGTGTAAGTGTGGGGGGATATAAGTGCAGTTTTAAAAAGAAAAAATTAATCATTACTTTAGCTGAGAAACAAAATCCATTCCTAAGGGATACACAGCTCTAGCTGACACTCACTCTTGAATGAGCATTGCATTTTAAAAGACAAAAATTTTCTGGAATAGTATTTGAAATGCCAAGGGGTTTTTTGATGTGGTTTTTTTTTTTTGTTTTGTTTTAGTCTTATGACTGTGATTTATTTCACTCACAGAGTAGTGAGATTCAGATATTCTGATGTTCCGGCCTTTTTAATTATTAAAAATGTTATATTTCACCTATGACCTTATTTGTACAAATGACTGAATGACTTGGTCCTGGTGCCTCTTCTTTTCCCCCCTTGCAAATGATATTTAATTCAGCTTGACCAAAAACCCCAAAAGAAACCAAACTCAAAACAAAACAAAAACACCAAGAAAAGAACTAAACAAAAACAGAAGAAAAAACCCCATATCAGGGGTAAGTTTAAACTTTAATTCCATTCCAGTGTTTGATGAAATGGGATATTTAAAAATGCCTCCTGTTCCAAAAAGATGGGAAACGCTTAGCAATAACTTGTTTTCCCTAGTCATTTTCTGATGCAGATCCTGGGGTTTTCAGAATTTTTTACTGTTATCACTATTTACCTGAAAATACATCCTAAACAATCTCAATATCCTCTGGAAGACTAAATGTACAAAATAACATGTATTGATCTTTGAGTATCAGAAAACCTGATATATAGCTTCAGTGAGCTATTTTCTAACAGTATGAATTAATAGCAAATAATCAGATTGCTGACCTTGTGCACTGTACAATCTGAACAGAGGAGGGTTATAAAAATGTCACTGAAAAAGTTGCAAGCCTGACAAAATCAATATGAAATAATATTGTCACTAAGCCAGTGCAACCTGTGTGTGAAGGAGGCTTTGAGTGCAGTTTTAGCTTAAATTAGATCAAGCAGTATCATTCTGCTGACCTCAACTCTTCTGCTTTCTTTAATTAAAATACAAAATTTATCACCTATCTAAAATTCTTTTGTAAAGATATCATTAAAATGCTGTAGCAATTTCCACACAGACCTGAAAAATGCCACTGGATCATTCTGTGGGAAGAGCACTCTAAATGCTAAATATTGTAGCTGTCTGATGCTTTGATTTGGGGCTTCAGGTTCTTTCCTTGTTAATTGTGAGGTGAGTCACTTTTCATTTTCATGTTTCTTTCATAAACCTTGACAACTGGAAGATGCAATCCAGCTTAAACTTCCCATTCTGTTCAGAAGAGAAAAACTCTCAGGCTTTTCAAAGAAGAGAAGGTCAAATGTGTGTTGGACAGATATTAAAGAAGTTGCCCTTGGGTTCAAACTAATTTCAGTCTGTTGTTGGAGAGGAAAAATTCCCAAAACCTGAATTGAGCTTTCTGGAAAATTGGCTCTTATGGAAAAGGACCAAAGGATTAAAGTTACTAAAACTTTTTTTTTTTTTTTCCCTGACATTCACAGGAATAAAAGTTTTACTTTTTGAGGCTTTCTATCAAACCTTCTCAAAACAGTTTTCCGATGTTTCTTCTTCTGAGAACTTTGTAAATGCTACTTTCTACATTTGTGGTACTTGCATTAGTGTAATAATGAGCTGCTGTTTTACCAGTGCATGCCACTGAGAAAGGTGTGGTTCACTGGACAGGATGAGTGAATTTCCATTTATGTGGTACATGTGTTGGAATGTGGTAAATGTATCCTTTAAATGGCCTGAATTATGACATGATAATTGAGATTTTTCAACCCTGTAACAGCTTAGGGCTGTGCAGAATTAAGTACCCCTCCTGAAAGGATTGTAGATAATTGCCTTTAAATGTCAAGGCAGACACCTGCCAGAGGTATCCCCAGAAGGCAGAGCCGCCCTTGGGCACGGGAGGAGCCCAGCCTGGAGAAGACAGGTGTGCAAAAAACAAGACTTTTTGGAAAAAGAGTCAAAGGGAAAAGCAGGTGTGGGTCACAAAGATACTTGTGAAGCACAGCACACTGGCAGATTCCAGCTGAACACTGGAGACTGTTTTCTCTTCTGACAAGAAGATTTTTGTAGCTCATTATAAGAGTTCAGTTGTGCTTGATGATGGCAGAAGCTGTGTGTGTAAGTACTAGAAAACTTGTGCATTTAGGTATTGTTCAGATACTTCAAGCTCTGCTGTTGATAGGCTGGAGTAGAGTTTGGGGTTTTTATGTATGGGCTTTTCCTCAGCACTTTAGGGGAAATGGGGTTGTGACTAAACCACAGATTCATTCATTAATTCATCATGCTGCAATAAAGACAGAGAAAACTGCTGGGCTAGTTACCTGTTCTTTTGACCCTCTGCCCATCAAGTTGGAAGATATTTATTTTCCAGATGCCCTCTATGATGTTGAACACTCCTTGTTTATGTAAAAACTTCCCCCCTGAGTGTGTGTACATATATATGTACGTGTGTATATAAAGATATAGCTAATATATCTTAAGTGTTGCTGATTGATATGTATCAGTATCCAGCTGGGCTGTTCACTGTCAGAGTAGTATTGTGAATATCAGACCAGAGTGTGAACTAGAGGACCTCTTGTGCAGAGGCTTATTTTGGAGTGGCTCTTTGCTGTGCTAGGACAAAATTAGTCAGGACTATTTAATGAAGTCAGCTTAGAGTTGTACATGAATAAGCTGTATTATAGAAATAGTATAACAAAGTTAAGAGCCTGGGTTTTGGGACATCACAGAGTTGCTAAGTGCTGCTGTAACAGACCTCAAGACGCTTTAGAAGCTACTGACAGAGAAGTGTTAAATATCTGTATACTCCTCAAATAGCATCACAGATGGCACTATAAAATGGGTACAGGCTGAACATCCCTTGGGACTGTCAAAACTTGGTGTCATTTTGAGATTGCTTAATTCTATTAAAATGAGGCCTGTCTTCCCTGGATTATGGTAATGAGCACATCAGAAGTTCTACTGTTAAACATAAATAAAGGCTGGTCTGAATCATTCATGGTGTTGGAAGAATAAATCCGTCACTCTCACTTAAGTGCATTAAAGTAGCAGTTTTAGAGTGTTTTGTGAACTCTGCTCTGTCTGGAGATTTTCTGAAGAAGAATTTGTCTCTCTTAAATTATGAGCACCTTTAATAGCTGGAATTTTGAATATTTTTTCTTTTCAGTGCAGAGGAATATCTTGCTAAAAGACAGAAGTTGAATGACCTTGCAAGGTAACAGGGAAACAATTATACAGATCAATCTAACAGAAGAGTAGGGTTTTTCGGCTGGAAAGTGATTAGCTTTGTTTTAGAGCACAGTGGACTTGGGTTGGAATAGTTTGTCTGAAATAGTGTCAGACAGTACTTTGGCTGTGCTAGGAATGTTAGAGACAGTTTTGAAGGCACATCAGAGAGATGGGTCTTGGACTCAGCACCATCCTTTCTCAGATAAATAATGTCTTTACAACGTGGTGACAGTGATGGTGGTAACGGGTACCAATTCTGCACGTTTTGTCTTCTCTTGCTAAAGGGATATTTTGGCTATGCCTTCTCTTTTAAATGCAGTTTGTAGTGCAGAGTGAGATAAAGCTGTCCAGCACTGAATGTCACATTCACTTGTGTGCTGCTGGCTCTGCTCTTCCTTTGCACATCCTCTGCTCTCCCTGTCCTTGGAGTGTGTTAGAAACCCAAGCTCCTCACCTCAGTGCAGAGTGGGAGCACTTTGGACAGGGGATGCAGTTTTTGTGGAATCTGCAGAGCAATGTTTCAGCACAGAGGAGCTCAAAGGGTTGAAGGGGCTGCCCCAGGGGTGGAACTGGGACAGCTGTAATTACTTGCACATCAAATCTGTTTCCTTCTGGTTTTGAAATTTCTGCACATCTTTGCTTCTGATTGCTAAGCAGAGCAGAGTGGAAAGGAGCTTTCCTTTTAAAAAAAGAATATTGGAATGGATGAATGTGTTTACAAGAGCAAGCATGGGTTTATTTGGGGATTGGGCAAAAACTACAGGTGATATCAAGGTGGAATTGCACAGAAACACAACTCACAGATTTAATTTTAGTTGTCATTTGTGGAATCAGGTCTTTGTGCCTATACTCTTCTTTAGGCAAGAGAGTGTCTCCAGCATTCATTGGATTTGTGGCTAAGTCTGTGATGGGTTACTGAAAGCCTGCAGCAAGGAAATTTTTTTTTTTTTAAAAGGAGATTTCTGTCTTTATTAAGAAAACCCAAATGACCAAGGCAGATCTCTTAGAGTAAACCTGGGAACTTGCCCATATATTGGGCAGAATTTTAAATCAAAAATTTGGTACATCAGCAGTACTGCAGACACACCAGACTTCAGTTCCTTTGTATTGGTTTGTTATTTTTTTGTCCATCTTACACATCCCTGAGCTGACAGAACTGGGAGTCCTTGTGCGAGCCACTCACACAGAACCAGATGCATTTCAAGATTTCATTACTATTTTGAAACAGTTTCAAGAATATGAAATTAATAATTTCATACATGCAAATCAACGTATATAATTTGTTTAGAAAAAACCCAGAAATTTAATGTGTTTTGCCTTGCATAATGAACTTAATGTTCTGGACTGGCACTTTTCTGCATTTCATAAATTTAAAGTTCAGCTGCTGGGTGGGGAAAAGCTGAAGCAAATCCAGTGTGCTGTAACAATTTAACAATTCTTATGTGCAAAATAGATTTTTTATTTTTCACTTCTAGCCTTAGATGATGCTGAACTGGCTGTCAAACAGTATTTCTGACATTGGAACTGGAAGCTTCTATTTTCAGTGCATGTACTTGAGACACTAATTGCATGGAATTATGTATTATCATCCCGTTTTACAACAATAAAGTGGTGATGCAGCAACTACAAGAGAATTCAGAAGGTCACTCTAATGTGCTCTGTCCTAATTTTTTCACGGCTCGGGGTTTTTTTTGGAGTTTGAGATCATAGCTATAGTCTACTAAAGTGATCCAGAGGATCTTTTTAAAACAGCTTTGGAGTTAGGGTGAGCTGCCTTATATTCACTATGTGTTACTGTCTGGTGTTCTTTACTGGCTCTATAATTCTGTAATTAGGCTTAAACTAAAACTAACTAGATTCTGCCTTTATAATGACAAGTTTCTCAGATTCTAAGGGTATTTTCTCTCTTGGTTGATGTGTAATCCTGCACTGTTAAGTCATCACCGATTCCATAGAGCTGACTCAGATTTTCTACTCATGATTCAATAAAAACCTTGTTCTAGACCAAGTAAAATGCCACTTTTAAAGACAGATTCAATTTTTCTATGTATAGTTCATAAACATCCAAGTGATTAAGCAGTCTTTAATTATTTAAAATGAGATCTAATTTGTCTTTAAGATAACTTAATTATTGACAATTTCTCTGTGCATCATAAAGTCATTATATTGTGGGGGTTTTGAGGACCTTGTGCCCCTCTGATCATACTGTAGTATTCAGCCTGCCAAACCTAGAGCTTTCTTCATTATTAAATGTCTTCTATTTGTATTCTCTGTGATTATTGCAGCCCTTTCCCGGCAGCCTGCATCTCTCCCATCTTACACTGGAGAGAGGTTTCCTCCTCAGGAATCCATTCTGCACTGACTCCTGGGTACTGTCCTCTGTGATCTCTGATCTGATAAAAGCCTTGATCATTTTAACATTCCAGCTCACAGAGAAAACTGCACAAATGGAGTTGTGCCTCAACAGAGGCACTGCTTATGTCCTTGCCAGATTCAGGGATGTTTCATGTTTTTTTCTTTTAAGCTTGGCTTTTGTAAACTGATGTAGTGACTTGCACATTCTGTGCTGTATGTTTCTGTGCAAATCCTTAATAAAACACTGCAGTACAATAGAAAATTAGCACATAGAATAGGAAATTAGAACACAGAGTGTTCTCTGAGCAAGTTTGCTGATGGTACAGCCCAGCTGGACACAATCCTATGCAGCCTGTTCTTGGTGACCCTGCTTTAGCAGAGTTGGATGAGGTGGAGTAGATGATTTCCAGAGGCCCTTTCCAACCCCATCTGCTGTTTCTGTGATAGTGCTCAATAATTCCCTGGAGACTCCCTCAGCTGCACAGTGTTACTTGTTGGCACTTCCTCTGTGAATGTTTGTGCCACTGCACTGAGCTCAGCACCAAGCTGCCATGCTGCTTTCAACACTTCTGTGCTCTCATTTGTCTCCAACAGCCACTGTGGAATGTTACAATCCCAGAATGAACGAGTGGAGCTACGTGGCAAAAATGAACGAGCCCCACTATGGTCACGCTGGAACCGTGTATGGGGGGCTAATGTATATTTCAGGTAAATAAATCATGCCTGTCATCATCTCTTGAAACAATTCCTTGTCTAACTTTTTCTGTCGCAGCAGCAGACAGTACAAATTAGTCTGTGGTTGCAGTAGGCTTGCCGTGGTATCAGTAGTGATGCAGTTTCATATGAAGACAGACAAACAGCACATACACTGCTGGCTCTGACAAAATTACTGTAGATAATATTATGCTTAGTAATTGAATAGCTCTGGATTCCAAAGCAGTTACTCACTTTACCAATCGAAATAAAGTTTCCTGTAGCCATAGATATAAATTATAATATATAATTTATATATTATATATAGCAATATAATTAAACATAACATTGTTATAATATATAATTATAATTGTGTATGAGTATTAAATAATTATAACATGTATTATGAGATAATATAGCAATTAAACACATAAACTATAAACTTTGGAATGCATTGAAAATTTTATAACTTTAAACAACGTTTGCCTTCATTGAAATAATGGAAACTGCTAAGTTCTCATGTTAATCATAGCATATAAGTGATATCTGTACTTGCACTGGTTTTTAATTTGAAATATGCTCATCCTGTGTGTAACTGAGATTGTAGTTTCATTACATTTTTTTTCCAAATGGGTTGTCTGAAAATCTGCTGTTAGCTTAATTTTTAAAGAAGATTCAATCTGTCTGTCAGTGATCATTGCAGGGCCTAGATTCTCCTACTGAAATTTTAAAGGATGTCCTCTTAAGAACTAAGCTGAAATTCGTGGCAGGAGGTGGGAACAAGGTTGCTTAGCTGACAAGAACTGGTGGGGGATGTGCTGGAGCAGCTTCATGTAGGGGCTCTTGTGCCAGAAGGCTAGGAGGAATTTGCTTTAGAATTTACTGTGAGGTACAGGTGCTTATTTTTCTGTGAGCAAGTCCATTGAGCTCCTAATTGCTGTGCTGCTGTCAGTTGTGTTTTGCCCATTTTGCTTGTTTTGCTGCAGGTGGCACATGCATATGCTGTCTGCTGTGTTTTTTTCATGTAGATCCCACAGATTTTTCTTTTCCTTTTGTCCTGGAGCCTCTCCAAATGCTCTTGCAGGGAGCTATGGAGAAGGTAAATGTAGAGGGAACCATAGGTAACTATTAACTGAAGAATATTTGAAATGTGTGTCCTCTCTCTATTCACTTGAATTTGATGAAAAAAGATTTTTTATGAAAATGCTACTATGTGGTACTTAAAACACAGTGGCATAGTATCAGAATTTGAAAGGGAAATGGATTCTTGATGGTGAGAAACATAACTAGCAAACTGAATGAACACAAGCAAAGAAATAAATTTGCAAAGTAGAAGCATAGGTAACAGTTTTTTGTTCTTTTAATCTGCCTGTATCAATTGTGTGATGAGGCACAGTGTGAGTGGCTTCTCTCCATATTCCCATTTAAAGGAACAAATGTCATTTGAAATGGAGTACTTCTGTGATAGTAATCTAAGCTAGAGTGAAGAAGTTTTAAGGAAAATGAAATTTTCAGTAAAATGTATTTTTTTGTTATTTAATGCTTATTGGGTTGAGCACTCCTCTAACATGTGTCTTGTTTCTTTAGGGGGAATTACCCACGATACTTTCCAAAAGGAACTCATGTGCTTTGACCCTGACACAGACAAATGGACTCAGAAAGCTCCGATGACGACAGTCAGAGGTCTGCATTGCATGTGTACTGTAGGAGACAAGCTGTATGTTATTGGTGGAAACCACTTTAGAGGAACAAGTGATTATGATGATGTTCTAAGCTGTGAATATTACTCACCAACTCTAGACCAGTGGACTCCAATTGCCGCCATGTTACGTGGGCAAAGCGATGTTGGGGTTGCTGTCTTTGAAAATAAAATCTATGTTGTCGGAGGATATTCTTGGAATAACCGGTGTATGGTGGAAATAGTTCAGAAGTATGATCCAGAAAAAGATGAGTGGCATAAAGTATTTGACCTTCCAGAATCCCTTGGTGGCATTCGAGCCTGCACTCTCACTGTTTTCCCTCCGGAGGACAATACAGGGTCACCGTCCAGAGAGTCTCCTCTTTCAGCACCTTAGAACCATCCCTTGGCTCACGATGTTGTAGTAACACCTCTGCACTGCATCATGGGGTCTCTTATTTTTCTTCAGTAGTTTCTGTTAGGCTTAGCCTACAGCATTTCATACAATTACTGAAAAAAAAAAAAAAAAGACTTTGACATTATTTGTGCTGTTTGTTTGGCCTAGAATGTCTCTCAAGTGGTTAACAAAAGAAATGTACTCGCCCGAGCCAAATGTTTAACAAATGAGAAGGTATTGTCTGTAAAATGTATGAACTAGGTACGTTATTAATGTTGTATGTTGGGTGTGAGGTACCTTGTAGCTTACATTTGGGAGCCCAGTGAGTCAAATTTGTATTGAACATGTCACTGAATTTCATGTTGAAATCGGTTTTCCTTTCATTTTTGACTGCAGATCACAAGGGTAGGTAGACCACATCAATGTGAACTCTCCGAAGGTTGCCAAGGGGCCTGAGCTACCTCCCTCTTTACACAGAGTATTTTTGACATATCTGTTTACCCACCTGACTTTGTGGGTGCTTTCAGAGCATATGAAGTTTCTTAGGCAGAGGGAAGAAATAAAATAATTTTAAAATATTAGCACTGTACAGGAGCGGACCTTGTAGAGGCCAGGAGTTTTTTATAACATATATCGAGTGTTTTTCCTGAGTCAGTTGAACGATGCTTCAAACAAAACATTCTAAACATATTTGTGTTTTTTAATTTGGTTTTCTTTTCAGGAATTGGCTTCCACTTGCATGGGAGCACACACTATTAACAAATGGGAATTCAGTGCAGCAGAGTATTCTGTGCTATGGCTGTACTGAATATGGGTAGTTAAGGGCTAGAATCAGTAACTTAAGCCACTGAATTTGACCAAATGGTTCCATCCGATCAAATTTAATCTACCTTTTCTCCTTTACTGTTGAGATAACTTGCATAATGTTTCCTCTGTATAGTCTCAGTTAATAAGGTTATTTAGCACAAAGTGCAGCTTCAGTGAGAGAGCTGCTTTTGCTCAGTGAACCTGGACTACCACATTTTACCTTTTTTTGTTCAATAAAACTTTTAACTGCAGTTACCCAGTCTAAGCTACCTCATTAATGTATTTGGTTTTCTTCCTCTGCCTCAGTGTCTCCAGGATACACATGATGTATATCCACGCGGGTAGGTGAATCTGCTAGGAAACCAATGCAGAAGTGATCATGAATGGGTATTTTTGACCTACTTTTAAGAAACTATTTTGGTCTGATGTGTTCATTTTATTGTTAGGGACTGATGAAAAACCAGTCTTAATGTTTTTTCCTTGGAGAACTGCTTATGTGTGCAGCCCTGCAAATTCACAGGAATCTTTACCTGCTCCAAAATATGGTGCCCTGCTGACAAACTGCAGCTCTGATTATGCCATTGTGATTGTTCTGGACTTCCCATCATGTTACGAGTCATTTTGCTAATGAACACAGTCACAGGGGCATCCTCTGGGGAAAACTGTTTAAAACAGCTTATTGTGTTACCTATTAATAATAACCAAGTAAAGCTTAATAGACTTTTGTTGGGATTTTGCTATTTGTGTTTTGTCCCTGCTTGATGCAATCAAGCAGCAGGATTACTGTGGTGTCAGTTTTGGAAGTACTGATATTTATTCTTTGTGCAGTTTACTAGTAATGGTCACTACCAAAATCTACATGTAAGCTTTAGGTTTCATAATTGTTTTGGTTAAAATCAAAATCAATTCTTCCTCTTTAAAAAATTGAAGTCTCAATTCCATGTGGCTGTGCAAGGTTGTTGCAGGCAGAATAGTGGCACCAGTGGATACTCCTGGAAACTGGCCAGTGAAGATAAATTGATTCATCACCCTAAGAATATTCTTCTTATGCTGTGCAAAGCACTGGATAGAAAAATTTTGCTCTGTTGCTTAAGGATTTTTCAATCATTTAAGTGTCACATGCTACTAATTTTTTTTTCCAGCTCAAAGACCAGATTTTAGACCCTACTTGAGTTTAAATCCTCTGAAATCCATATTCAGTGTCTCTTTTGTTAATTAAACTGAAAAGTACTTGAAGGAGTTGCAATTCCTTTAGGATAATGTAAATATATCCTGCTCTTTGTATGCTGGGGATGAGGGACACAGTGTTTAAAAGTGGGAATCTTCACTGGTGTTCTCTGTTTGGAAGAAGCTTCACATGGGTTCTGATCATTCTGAGGTGATTTAAAGCCAGCCAGAATATCAGTTTTGTGTCTGAGCCTTGTATAGCCAGGAGCTGGTATATGGCCACAATGATGAGGTTTTTTGTTTGTGTTTTGTTTTGGGTTTTTTTTGTTTTTGTTTTGGTTTTTTTGACTCATTATTTGTTATACATAAAATGGAAGACTTATTTTTGAACGTTTTGTCATCAGTGGATTAAATGTAGTGCTTCAATCAAATTAATCTTTGGGGTTTTTTGTTGTGATTTTTTTTTTAAATCTCCCTCTGGATTAAAGTGTTTATAATTAAATTAGTTAACATTTACTCACTAGGATTGAAAAGTAAACATCAAAGACTTGCCCAAAACTGCAAACTGGTTTCTTCTGTAGTGTAGTATAAAATGCCATGATGCTCATTGAGTGTTTCTTAACCATAGCATAAGATCCCCTTTCCATCTCTGAACCCACAGCTGTAGGTATACACACGGATACAGCAAATACCCATCTCCATTTCCAGTCAGGCTGCCTCTTCATAAATCTTGGACTCTCTCATGTTGCAGTTGTAGTACCTGAATCAGAAAAGCATCTGGGTAAAAAGCAATTATAGCTATTTGACTTGAATGAAATTAGGGTTGCATGGTGTGCCAGCTGGGAGAGCCACGGGAGCTGTCTGCCCTCTCCCAGTGATGCAGGCACACACTGCAAAATTCATTCAGGCTTTGCTTTTTTGGTGCCCAATTAGCAGCAAATGCCAACAGGGCTCACTTCCATGTACAGTGTGCCCAAAGGCTCATCTGATATCCCTGCAAAACTCACCACTCTGACTCCAGACATCCAAGGTGACATTTCCCTTGTTCTTTGTTTTGAGATAGGACAAGAACAGTGGGGAAGACGACCTGGGAAAATCCAGGTTATGTAAAGTTCCTTTGCCTTGTTAACATCAGAGGGTTCATCATCTGCAGATATCCATTTTTCTGTGATACCCCTCCCCTTAGAAAGTTGCAAAGTCCAAGAACCTGGTCCAGGGAAAGCAATTCCTGCAAGGATCCAGCCAGTCTTGTGGCTTCTTGGGATAAAGGAGCTGTGCTGAAGGGATGAGCACTGGTGCAGCAGAACGTGCTGAAGCCTGGCTGTGGCTCTACAGGCCCTTTGGGTGGAATATTCAGTGTTTTCTTATAAACAGTGCTATTTTTAAATTGCCTATTCTGTTTCTGAGGGATCTCTAAGGAGTAGCATTTTAGTGACAGTCAGAAGCTCAAACCAGTAGTCTGGTCCTTTAGTGGAATAATGGCAATCACGGATTAGAGCAGTTTGCATGCAGATAAATAAAGTTCTAACTAAAGGCTTACAGTCTTAATCTGATGGGCTGGTTGGACATCAAAAAATAATTTGATACCACAGCAACAAGTGCAGTACAAATATCTGGAGAAGTTTCTAACCAAAGAGTTGAGGATGAACTGATCCGAAAAGATCATAGCACTTTTCTTTGCAAAGTTCATTCTGCCCACCAGAATTGTTGTTCCTTCTTAATTTGCCCTCCAGCTGGTGATTACCTCACCTTTACACTGATGTGTGACTCTACTGGTCACTGATTCTTTAATCCTTGGTTTGACTTGATGCCCTTGGTAGCTGACATCTCTGTTACTTTCTCTGCTCCTGATCAGAACAGATAAAGCAGAGGCTTTTTAGTGGCACTTACATCAAGAGAGAATTGCCCATTGTTGATAAATGTATTTGTAATTCAGCTTGTGCATTCTTGGAAACATATAAGCTATTTTAAGCTAGTGAAAGGTATGTGCATGTTGCAGGAGTAATGTGTGTCCCCTTTCCTCCTGGCTTGCACCTTATGTGATGTGGTGACCCAGAGATCTGGAGGGAGAGTCAGGCTCTCACGTGGCACTTTATGCTTTCCATGCTCTGTGAAAGTGTTCTTTACTTGCACACCATATGTAGCTTATGGGATATTTTTTCTTCTATATTTTAAATGTGAATTATGATTCTTTGTGTGCAAATGTGGTCAGAAAAAAAAAAAAGTCTTAAAGGGCAGAGTTATACTTTGCTTAGTTGATAAAGTTTTTAGTCCCCTGAGTATTGCAGGACCCGTTCAGCTGTGAAAAGGTGATTGCAGCTTGAGAGCCAGCTAGGAAATCCGGATGGCTTTCCTGCCTGTCCCCAGGTCACACGTTCTTGTTGCCAGTCTTTCACAGGTCATTAAGTGAAGTTCTTTTCTCCATCAGTAGGCTCCAAATTTGGTGTCCAGCTCTGTTGAACCTGCTGATTTCCCACTCTGGGAAAGACATGGTGGGATGTGTTTTCACAACCTGGCTTGTTTTCTTCAGGAATTCCACCATCAGTGACACACTGGAGTCCTCCAGAGCTCTTTGATGACTTGGTGATTTGTATAGAGATGCAGCCCAGGAAACCTGGGAGTGGTGCTACAGCAGGAGCCGCAAGTGGCTGACATTCCTGAGGGGATGGTCTCCTACTATAGTATTACTTTGGCTCGAGTGCTGTTTTTTCCCCCATCTTTGGGGGTATTTATTGCTGCTGTTTGAGTTTTTAATTTTTTTTATTCATTAAATGAGTAATGCCTCTGTGAGTCTGCAGTGGGAGCAAAAAGTTCAGGTGGCTCTTTCAGAGCTGCATGCTGTCAGGCTGTCCACATAGTTATTAAACCCTTTCTATTTGGAGTTCTGTTTCCTAAGTGTTTAGGAGAAATCATTTTGCAATGTGAAAAGATCTCACAGGAAAATGTGTTTGGGACTGGAAAAAAAATGCATATTGTTTTAGATTTTTTGTCATGGTTTAGAGGTTAGTTTGGACTTTCAGCTCTCACAGACTGAATAGGGAGTGATGTATATATGTGTATTTTTTTTTGATAACTTATAGTCTAAGTGAGTCAAAGCTCAGTTATTTGTACCTGCTTGCACTCTTGGCTGGCCTGTTGCTGTATTCTCCCTCAGACCACAGCATTCTGTGCTGTCTGGCATCTGTTTCCTTCTGTAAGAGCACCTCTTGTCTTCCCTGCTGCCTGATGACTGAGTTCCAAAACCAATCTTGGGTTCTTACATCCAAAGTACCTGTGGAGCTAAAGACCATGTGGAGCTGAGGATTGAGGGCCATGGCTTTGACATTTAATTCCCCACCAGCCTCTCACTGCTTTGCAAGATGTTCTCAAACCCATCTGAAATCTGAGTGCACGAGGCAAATTCAGGCTGCAAATTTTAGTAACCTGGGCATCTAAAGACCACCAGAGTGTCCTCGTCCCCTCTGAGGGGAGTTGTGCACATGAGCTGCTGAGGGCTCTGGGAGGGGGCAGGCACAGGAGCTCCTTGGGTAACCACACTTCTTGTTGGCCTTTGATTCTGCTCTTTCTTCTGTGCCCAGATGGAGATGGTGGGAGGGAAGGTCAGGGCTGGGTCACACTTTCCAGCTCTCAGTAGAGAGCAAGTTTGTTTATTCTCCTCTGTCTGTACAACACTGCAGGAAAAATAACTGTAGGAACATTTCAGATTTTAAACGTTGTTTCACCGCACAGTATTCATTAATAAAGGAAAAATTAGTCTGTTTTAACCTGTGGTCCTCATAACCGGGATTGTTCCCAAATACTTGGCTTCTGTTGAATTAACAACTTTGCCTTTACCACCCTTGTTCAACGTTACTGTAAAAAAATTGCTTGGTTTCTTTTCCATTTGTTTTTCATTGCTTGTAACCTTTCCTTAGAAATGTGGAAATAATTTTCCTTACATGTTTTATGCACCAAAATAAACACACCACTGATCACCTGAGTCCCCTCCCCATGTTTCTTACTCAGTGCCAGTGTATTCTTTCCATATTTTTTACCCAAATGTTTGACAGCTGTCAATAAATACCACCAGAAAGTCATAAAATTCCTGCTAATGGGTGCTGCATTGTTAATTGGGGTAAAAAGGGGTCATCTCTTTTCTTAATCACTTCTGGAAAAAAATTGCTTTGAAGAACAGGGCTGCCCTGTTTAATACATTTAAATGCAGATTGTTTTGGCCTGAGCTGGTTAACTTTAGTTTTGAGTATTTGTCTCTTTCAGATATGTAATTGCATCGAGTGCTTACAGTACACTGTTTATAGTGTGTGTTCCCTGCTCGTGGTGGGGAGGCACTGGGTGCTGAGGCCAGAAATCACCGAGTGCTTACAGTACACTCTTTATAGAGTGTGTGTTCCCTGCTCGTGGTGGGGAGGCACTGGGTGCTGAGGCCAGAAAGACTCTTGGGAGTGTTGTTCTTCCATCTTCATGGGAACAGCCCTGTGTGACTAAAGAACCTCTACCAGGGTCAGGAGCACTGAACTTGGAAGGAAAGTCAAAGCAGCTTCCTAATTGCAGTTAAAGCACAGCCCAAGTTTCCAGAAAGGGGAGACAGAGCTGCTGTCCCTTAGGCATGTTTTGTCAGGAGCTGAGGATATTAGCAATGAAAGGATTGTTGCTGTAAATAAAGACAATAAAATAAATCCCTACATCTGTCCCCAAAACAGAGAGATTGCTTCTGTTGATATACCACTCTATTAATATTTGACTTTGTGTGTATATGGGATGTCTCAAGTGCTCATATCACATAAGTGATGCCCTGTTTCCCATTAGTCACAGTGTTTTCTATCTAGTCAATTCTGAATAATGTTTTTAAATTACATGGAATATTAGAGGATACACTTCTCTGGTTTTATTTCCTAAGCCTTTTTAAAAGAGATTTTATGTATCTTGTTATTTCAGCATTACTGCATTTAGCCAAACCCAGGAAACATGAAATGGCAGGTTTTGGTTCATCATTCAGGTCTTTTTTGAGTTTCTGCTTTTTCTTTTCACTTTATGGAGTTTTAAGGACGGGATGACAAGAAGAGACAAAGAAAAGGAAATATCAGGTGCAACTGAATGGTAGTGTCTGCTGTCAGCAGTTCTGCCATTTGGGACAGTTATGATTTACAATCCTGTCAAGCTTATCTTGTGTAATATCCCAGGAGGTTTCCATCTGGCCTGCAGTGACACAGTGCTGGGAAAGGAAAAACCAAGCACCTTTGCACTATTCCTGCTCTGTGCCTTCTGTGTTGCCCCATGGAGTAGCAGGCTGTACTCACCAGCACCGAGGCACTGCGGCCTCAAATCCCATCCCTGCCCCTGTCAGGGGATGGGGCCAGAGCCAGGGGCCACCTGTGGCCACCTCTGCCCCAGCTGGGCTCCAGCCCATGCCTCTGGCAGGCTGAAGGGATGGAGTGTGGCTTGGGAAGGCAGGTGCTGCTGTGGCCCTCTGAGAGGGACCAGCAGGGCTCCACTGTGGACAGCAGAGCCATTAAAATATCTTCATCCATGCATGGAGGAAGGATTTTCTCTTTTATCTTTGTTTGTGCATCAGAATACTTTGAATCTTGGCTCTCCAAAGCATAGGACAAATTTGAGCTGCAGTCATTGCACACAGAGGTCACTAAGAGCATGTCTGAGTGACCTCCTCTAGCTCTAACACTCATCAGCCACTGGTTTTGGAGAGTGGAGATTTCTCCCCCCTGCCAATTTTCTGCCGAGGCCCTAAATATTTCTCAGACATTTTGTGAGCCTGATTCCAGGCAGGCTGGGCCATTCAGAGGTTAAGCAGTTAGGGACATGACTGAGACCTCTTCATGTCACCAAGCATGTGTCCTGTACTCAGGGATGCTGATAGGAACAAAGCTGTGACCTTGTTTGCTCTCCCTGTCCTTACTTCCTCCCCAAAGAAAAACCATCCTCATTGTAAACCATTGTAAAATTTTCATTAGACCAGACATCAGATTGAGAATTTTAAAAGATGTCTCACCTTCTTCATCTCACTCTTCATTTTTGCTGTCTTTTAGAAATTAAGATGAATTGTTTTGTCTTAACATCATGTGGCATGAGAGACCAATGCCATTCAATAAACAGCTGCAGCTTGGAACTTAGGGTTACAGCAGAAACTATGCTTCTTAAAGAATCACATTTCATTTTCCTTGTCCATATTTATACACTTATAAATGTGGACTTTCTGGAATTTAGATAGCTTGATAGAGATGACATGTGCCATATGGTCTTTAGGACAAATTCCAGCTTCATTAACAGTTCACTGGCTGAAAGGAATAGCAATTAGTCTTTCGTGCAGTCTAAAATCAGCTTGTCAATTAGCAAACAAACTAAAAATTACTGGAGTTTCTTTTTACAGAAGCCTCTGCTCTGAGGCTTCTCCCTACACCCCACATAGAGCTGACTTTGCAGCATCAAACCATTGCACCCTGTGTTCATTGTCACTGCTTTGGCACTGGAAATGGGTCAGGATTAAGCAGAAGAATCTCAGTGTGTGTGATGCAAATATGAAAGCGAAGAGGCAAGTGAAACTCTGTATTGCTGAATCTCCTGGGCACAGTGCTGGCAGTGGAGGGAGGGAGGGACCTGCTGGGAGAAGCCCTGAATGTTGTAGCTGGGCAAAACAGTGCCCTGAGAGAGGATGCCATGAACCTCCAGGGAGAGGTGATGTCCTGCAGGGTGGCTCCTCAGCTTCCCAGTAACCAGCACTGCCATTTGTTCTGTTCTGGATGGGGATGAGGGGAGAGCAGGGCCAAATCTGAGAGGGGCACCCTTGGCCTGCCCAGGGGCTGGGGCTTGGTCAGAGGGTGTGATACATCTCTATTTCCATTTGCTGGAGGAAGACCTTTCTGTTTCTTTTCTAAGCCATCTGGGAAGCCTGTATTCCCTTCCCATAAAATGGGAACAAAGATTTATTACTCTCTTCTGAAGTCATTTGCTGGAGGAAGACCTTTCTCTTTCCTGTTTCTTTTCTAAGCCACCTGGGAAGCCTGTATTCCCTTCCCATAAAATGGGAACAAAGATTTATTACTCTCTTCTGAAGCTGGTTATCAGCTAGGGTTTGAAAGACTTGTTTTCTCCAACTGTTTATTGGTATTACTTTTTGGGTTTTTTTCAAAAACCCTAATATCTTGTGACCTACCTGAAGGATGATGGGGAGTCAGGTGACATTTTTGATGTCAACAGCAAAGACTGTGCTGTCAAGAGTCTTTACTGGCCACCCACAGAAGGCACAGGAGAACCTCATGACCACTGGTTATTTTATGAAAACAGCTCTTGCATTGCCACAAGTAACTGGGTTCATCACAAGACTGAGTGAAAGTCTGCTGTGATCAAGTATCTAGTGCAGGCTGCCCTTCCTGGCTCTGATCTCATCTCTCTTGGTTAATTCCTCTGCAAAATGCTGTACATGGCTGCTGTGATGGGAACCACCAGCCCCTGAACAGACCTGTGCTGTTCTTGCTGAAGGTGGGATGCCTTTTGTTCAACTTCTTGTTTCTACTTTCTTTCTGTGGACCTTATCCATGTGATTTGACAGCCTCCAGTGAAAACACTTCACCAGAGTAGTAAGTAAAGCCATCTGCTGAGGTTTGTGACCCCCTTGTCTGCAGATCCTGGGCAGCACGTTCTCAGATGTGTGATACTGAGGGGTGGATATTGGATGGCCTCATGTGCCTTTCAAAACAGAGGGGTAATATTTTGGAAAGCTCACATCAAATGACTGTAAAGTAGCTTCTTCTCTGGATGTGTTACCTGTTGCTTGAGCTGGGGGGGTTTGAGAAGCCAAAACATTGTAATGTAAAGACCTTGGCAAGAGTGACCCCAGGTATCTGAATTTGCCAACACCAGAAACGCTCATTTGGGTTTGTTAGACAGTTCCTCAGTTTCTCTTTGCCCTCCCAGTCCTGACCTATTTGCTTGGAATGCACACAGATGACTCCATGTCTGACAGCTCTGAACACTGAGGGGAGGGTTTCCCCACAGGCAGCTCTGCTCCTGCAGCTCAGAGCAGCTGTGGGACTCTGTTCTTGCTCCCACAGTACTGCTGAGGTGGCACCAAGGACAAGGTCACAGCACACAAGCTGATCTTCAAAAACACTTTTAGTAACTCTGCTAACGATAGTGGAACTGAGCTGGAAACGTTCCTGTCTGGAAGAGCTGGGCTGCAGAAAGACACCTTTTTCTCTATAATTCAGCAGAAACTGGGTTTGCTCCTGAATGCAGCCTGTTTTGAAACCAACCCTGGTGTGGACTTGCAGGGGTTAATGCCCATCTCCACTGTCAGATGAAACTTCCAGGGCTGCTGGGGATGATGGAGCGTGCAGAGGAGCTCGCGGCCCCGTGCGTGTTGTCTGCTGTGCTGTCTGCTCTTGGTTAGGCTGTCTTGTCTTGCTAATCACATCACATCTGTCAGCTCTCTGTGCCTAGAAACAAATTCTAAACAAGATGTCAAGGTGGAGTGGGAATTGTTTTAAAAAAGGGACCAAAAAATCAAACCATCTTGAATGGCTAAAAAAAATAATGGGTAAATAGCAGCTGAATGCTCCTTTTAAAATTATTTTTAGTGCATGTTTTATCATAGTTAATGGATGATGGTTTATACATGAACATTTGGTTGTAAAATGTGCACCACAGTAGCAAATCTCAAGCAGTTTCTTGCCTTCTCTTTCTCATGGCCTGTAGCAGGTGCTTTACCATTTTTCCACCATTAAGACACTGGAAAGGGCTGCAGCAGTTTAGTAGCAACTTTTTCTTGCAAACAGTACAATCCCACCAACCAACACCAGCAGCATTTGCCTGTTCACACCCTGCAGAATGTCTGATATTTCTGTGCTTCATTTACCAGGTTTGCCCAGTAGCAGGACTCTGGTAATATGTTCACAGACAAAATAAGAGAGAATATGTCCTGTAGGCACAGAGGAAAGATTTGCAGTTTACTTATTCAGTAAAAGT